TTGAGCGCATTGCTGTGAAGCTGTCTGCAGCCTCTGCAGCACGGGTTCAATTCCCGGCCAGCCAGGGAGATACCCACATGGAGCGGCAGACATCTCCTGCCTCACCTGCTGCTCCCCTTAGCAGTGTTTTCAGTCTGCCTGCCTGTTGTGCTCCCTGCTCTGTCTCTGGTTAATTCTCTCATCCTCCACGCCTCTGGCGTGTACTCCAGCTCTTATATAAATAAATAAATCTTAAAAAAAAAGAAAACTCAATGTCCTTAAAGTGAAAAATTAAAAGAAGTGCTGATAATTTATTCAGCAAAGATGTAAAACAATCAAACAATGTAAACCTTTAAATAGATCAATGTTTAGCATTCAAAACCAAAGCTTTTGCTATTCATTAACCTGACAGTCAAAGATGGTGTACAACTTTCCTGTTGCTTCTGTAGCAAGTTACCACCAATGCACCAACGTGGTGCCTTAATACAATACAATGGATTATCTTACAATGATGTCAGTCAGAAGCCTGAAATAGATCAGTAGGGTACATTCTTTATTGAAGCTCTAAGGAAGAATCCAGATAGTTGCCCATTCCAGCTTCCAGAGGCTGCCTGTCTGCCTTTTCTCATGGGCCCACTGAGGAGGACTTCTGCTTCTGTTGTCAGATACTATGTTTATCTTTCTCTTTCTTTATTTCACTAAGCATATTACCTTGTAGATCCATCCATGTTGCAAATAACAGGATTTCATCTTTTTTATAGGTGAGTAGTATTCCATTATATATTTGTACTACATCTTCTTAATCTAATTGTCTGCCAGCGGGCACTTAAATTGTTCCCAGCTCTTGGCTAGTGTGAACAATACTGCATTGCACATGGGGATGCATATATTTCTTTGAATTAGTGTTTTTGGATCCTCAGATAAATGCCTAGAGGTGAGATAACTGAATCTCTCTCTTTTTTTTAAGATTTATTTATTTTTACAAGCACTGGGTACAGTTAGAAGTGTGGGAGGGTGAGAGAATTCACCAGAGCCAGAGCGGGGAGCAGAGCAGGCAGAAGGACTGAAGTACACTGCTGAGGGGAGCAGCGGGTGGCAGGAGAGGTCTGCGCGCCATGTGGGACCCTCCTCCAATGGCCGGGGAGCAGCCAGGGATCGAACCGGCATTGCAGAGGCTGAGGGCAGCTTCGCAACCCAGTGTTCAACCGCTGCGCCACCAGGGAGGCCCCAAGAGATAACTGAATCTTAGGGAATTTCTATTTTTAATTTTTTAAATTTTTAATTTCTATTTTTAGTTTTTTAATTTCCATACTGTTTTTGATAATAGCTGTATAATTTACATTCCCACCAATACTTTATAAATTTTTAAAAAGCACAAGGAAGTGACTACACATAAGATCACACAACAGCTCAAAGAATAGACAGAGCTACTGATTAAAGTTTCCAGTTGGAGATTTGGATTCATTATCTTCTTGTCTGTTTGACAGCTATATCTCCTATATTTCAATATGTGACTGTTACTAAATCTTGTGAAGATTAAAACATATTTGAGTGTGACAGCTGCACTGCTTTAGCTACACAAGAACTGAAAAGTAACAAGGAAGGTGCAGTGGGGTTTTAGATTCCATGAAGTAGACTGTATGGCTGATGGACTGTATCTGCCATTCTGCTCAGTCATCCAATGTCAATAGATGCTGCAGTTTCCTGTGTTTAAACTTTTCTGTCATGTTTGTCGCAAGGGCTTATGCCAATCTACTTCCAGTGGCATATGCTATTGGGCAAGTGGATTTCTTCTTAACCAAGCAATTACCAAAGATGCTCATGTATTGCCAAGAGAAACAAGTCAGTTCATAAAATGAGAAACTGAATCGTGTAAATCTGTTAAGTAGATTAAAATGTTCCCTTATACTGAGTCTCCAGTTTGTTAGTGTGTCAAGGCCAAATAATGAATTTTAACATTAAAACAAAATTGAGGGCCTCCCCTGGTGGTGCAGCGGTTGAGCACTGGCTGGGTCGGTTGACCTGGCCGCTGGCGAGGGTCCCACAAAAAAAAAAAAGAATATTGAAAAAATTATTTAAATAATATAAAAATCAAATGACGTTACGTCTACTACTGGGAGAAAAAAAGGATGACTTGAATGACTGAAATGAAGATGTAAAGAGACAGAAGAGAATTTCAAAGCCTAACACTGGCTATCAGGTACTGCCTTCACATCAGCCCACCACTTATTCTGAATCCAAAGAATATTATGTAGGAAGAGAAGCACAGATACACACTAATGATTAGTGTTTCGTGTACTTTTGGCTGGCTTAGCTGCTAACTGCTTTCCTCTTTCAAACATTTTGTCTGGTTTATGCATCCATTCAAACTCTTCTTTCTGCTTCTTTTGCTGCTGCAGTTAAAGTTTTCCCTTATTTTTTTAAAGATTTATTTTTTTATGCAAGAGCTGGGGTGCGGGCCAGCAGTGCAAGGGTGAGAGGATTCACCAGACAGAGTATGGGGAGCAGAACAGGCAGATCTACTGAAATACACCGCTGAGGGGAGCAGCAGAGGAGACAGGAGCGGTCTATTGCACCAAGTAGATCACCTCCCTGGCTGGGGATCGAACTCGTGCTGCAGTGGCTGTGGATAGCTTCATAGTGCTGACACTTAACCCCTTGTGCCATCAGGGAGGCTCCATTATTTTTTAATTGATGGGTTTTTATTTTTATATTTTTATCATTACTATCCCTTTTATATCCATCCTCTTGCATAAAAGCATTTAGCATCAGGCCTCCCTGATGGTACAGTGGTTAAAGTGTCAGCACTATCAAGCAATTTGCCAGCACTATCAAGCAATTTGTAGCATGAATTTGATCCCTGGCCAGAGAGCTAACCCACATGGCACAGCAGACCTCTCCTGTCTCACCCGCTGCTCCCCTCAGCAGTGTATTTCAGTCAATCTGCCTGTTCACCCACGCAGCTCTGGCTTACACCCCAGTACTTATATGCATAAATAAATAAAATAAATCTTTTAAAAAAGAGCATTTAGCATCAAGCAATGAACAAAGCATTATTGTCCAACACTGAATGACACTCCTTAAATAAAGAAACTGTTTATTTCAGTGCCTCTAGCAATACAAGTTGTTTCGATATGAGTTCTTTTTTTCCTTTTTTTAAATATTTATTTATTTATTTATACAAGCATTGGGTACAGTCAGAAGCACGGGAGGGTGAGAGAATTCACCAGAGCCAGAGGGCAGAGCAGAGCAGGCAGGCTGATGAAGTACACTGCTGAGGGGAGCAGCGGGCGGCAGGAGAGGTCTGCGCACCATGTGGGACCCTTGCCAGGCGGCCGGGGATCAAACCGGCGCTGCAGAAGCTGCGGGCAGCTTCGCAACCCAGTGCTCAACCTCTGCGCCACCAAGGAGGTCCTCGATGTGAGTTCTTAAGGGGTTTGTTTTGACCTCTGCAGATCCCCCAAGTGTGAGAAAGCAGTCCTCAGCCACTTGCTCCAAGTTTTAAGGCTCAGTTCTTCACCAGTCCTTTGTCTGCTCCATCATTAGATTGTGTCACCAGAATGTCACTAGCATAGGTCCATCTCAGATCAGGGCAGGCTCTGCTCCACATACTGTCCTCCCAGACACCCACACTGAAAAAGCCTTCACCATCAGGTTCATCCAGGTCATTGTGGTGTGAAGAGAATTTGGTCAGCTGCCATAAAAGTATTCTTGGCTCCTTGCATTTCTGTATGCGTTTAGAAGCAGTGTGATAAACTCTTTCCACCCCCCTCAAAACACCCACACACACACATGCACACACACACCAAAACCGGGATTTGGGATAACATTGATCTAAATATTAGCTTGGGGAAAACTGGTTATAGTACTGAGGGTTTTAACCATGAATATAATATATCCCTCGAAGATCTATATTATTTTAGGGCCTCCCCAGTGGCACAGCAGTTGAGCGCTGGGTTGCGAAGCTGCCTGCAGTCTCTGCAGCACCAGTTCGATTCCCGGCTGCTGGGCGAGGGTCCCACATGGCGCGCAGACCTCTCCTGCCGCCCGCTGCTCCCCTCAGCAGTGTACTTCATCAGCCTGCCTGTTCTGCTCCCTGCTCTGGCTCTGGTGAATTCTCTCACCCTCCCATGCCTCTGACTATACCCAGTGCTTGTATAAATAAATAAATCTTTAAAAAAAATCTATATTATTTTATTTTTTTATAATAAATTTTATTTTTATATTCCCCATACAATTTCAACCCCCCCATTTTGACCCCAATCCCTCTCCTCCCTCCACCCACCCCCCCAAAAGTGTCTCTGGTTCATAGATTTTTGTTGATTAAAAAAAATCTATATTATTTTAAATACATGTTAACCTGCACTATTTTCTGAACATTATATACTATACCATTAGCACTTTACATAAATGATCTCGTGCCATCTTTGAAATAATGCTGAGAAGCAGGATCTGCTATTATTTCACAGAGAAACTAAAGGTTAGTGAGATTAAGTCATTTGTCAAAGGCCACAGTTAGTATGAAGTAAAAAATCCAGGCAGCCCACACAAGATCTGTACTCTTCATCACTATGTGACAACTGTCATCTTCCTGAGCTGACAGCTGAGGGCAGGTGGGGTGGAGGGAAGAAGGACTGATAGATGAATGAATGACCAGATGGATGGATGGATGGATGGACAGACAGACAGATGGATGGATGGAAGGAATAATTTTTTTTTTTATAAAATGGCAGGTTTTTTAAAAGATTTATTTATTTTTATTTATACAAGCACTGGGTACAATCAGAAGCACAGGAGGGTGACAGAATTTACCAGAGCCGGAGCGGGAAACAGAACAGGCAGACTGATGATACACTGCTGAGGGGAGCAGCAGGCGGCAGGAGAGATCAGCGCGCCATGTGGGACTCTTGCCTGGTGGCCGGGGATCGAACCAGCGCTACAGAGGCTGCGGGCAGCTTTGCAACCCAGCGCTTAACCGCTGCGCCACCGGGGAGGCCCTGGAAGGAATAATTTACTGGAAGCAGACCTACAGGAAGGCTCCTATGGTTTTCTGCATGTGTTCAACCTCTTCTACTCAGCATCTGTCAACCTATACACATAATTATTTGTCCAAATACCAACAATCCTTCTTCCATTTCAGCACCTAGGCCAGAAATCTGCATCTAGAGCTGCCCGCCTGCTGCCCTCCCCCCATCCCGATGCACTCCCTCCGGACTAGGTGGAGCAGAGAACAGCCCCTTTACTGGTCATGCTGAGCTCATACTCTGTAAGTCTGAACATGCCACACACAGATCTGGGTTAACCTAGAAACCAGCATCAATCTCAGTAGTGTCTGTCCCTGATCCCATAAGAAATGAGGGATCCATTTAATGAATGAGCTTATCAAGCTTTAAGAGAGAAAGGACAGTCAGAATCCACCCACTGGGACTGAGTAAGGTGAGTGCAGCTTTTATGATCCTCTCTTTCTGTCCCTTGTAGGATGGCTGTTCCATGACTTCAAGATTGTGTCCCCACCCTTCTCCCTCTTTACCAATGCCTGATCTCATGGGGTTAGTTTTGAGCCCAACACGATGGCCTCATCCTCCCCAGCTCCTCCCTCTGAGTCCAAGAAGCCCCGGGGCAAGATGGCTGGTAGGTGAAAGCATACTCCTAATTCTACTCTTTTTTTTTAATAGTAAATATTTTCTTTTTTTTTTTTTTTAAGATTGATTTATTTATGCATACAAGAACTGGGATACAGGCCAGAGGTGTAGGCAGTTGGAGGATTCACCAGAGACAGAGCAGGGAACAGAACAGGCAGATTGACCGAAATACACTGCTGAGGGGAGCAGCAGGCGAGACAGGAGAGGTCTGCTGTGCCATGTGGGTAGCTCTCTGGCTGGGAATGGAATTTGTGATGCAGTGGTTGCAGATACTTCATAGTTTGCAACTCAATCCCTTGCGCCACCAGGGAGGCCCTCCTAATTCTACTTTTATGAGTGCAGTCCTCACTCATAAGTAGGACTGGTAGGAGGACTGGCTGGCCCATACATGGGCTGATGGTGGGTGATTCCAGCCTTGAGTGCAGTGTCTGGGTGCTTTGTGAGGAGAAGGCAGGCATCAGTGGAACCTGCAGTCCTTTTGGCGCAGGGAAAGGAAAACCTTTGGCTTTCCATGTATGTTTGGATAATTTCCCTAGCCTGGAAACCATGGTGCTGGGTGTATAACATTGTGTCTCTTAGCATTTAAATCTTCCCCAACCATTCAGAGCAAGGATCCAAGCAGGGAGAATGAAGATTTATCTGTTTAACAACAATCTAGGATTTCTCATCTGTTGATTCTCAAACAGATGCCAGTCCCTGCCTCACGTCTGCCCCCATAATGGGTAGCCCATCTTAATCTAAACCCATTTCCCTTCAGGGCTGGGAGTGGGCTTGGGCACCGACTGGTCCTTTCTAGCTTCCCATTGCGCTACTTACAGGCTCACAGTGGTTGACTAGTCAGGCTGTGTGGGAAGTCCTGGTGAAGGCAGGCTGGGTACCAAAAAATACAGGGTCTGCTGCAGGTCAAGGTCATCTTCCCCAGCTAGTCTCTAAAACAGCCAGAGTGCATATGTATTCCTGGAGCCTTTAAAGATAGTGAGAAAATTTAGGAAGGTCTAGAGGATGTACAAAAACAGCAGCGCAGTTGGTATCTGGGAATGTGTTGTTTGCCAGTGCAGGGAAGATGGACTGGAGCCCTGTGCCACCTCTGGCTCCTCCGTGGGGCCACCAGGAGGCAATAGGGTAAGAATACCAGGCCCAGCAGTGTTTCTTCCTCCGCAGACTGGTTCAGGAAGGTCCTATCAAAGAAGTCCAAGAAAATGCCTACCTCAGCAGAAAGCACCCCCAGTGACGTGTCACAGCCAAGCTCACAGGATGACCCCCCACGCATGGGTCTCAGCTCAGCCGTGTCTTCCACCCCACCACCACCACCGGAGGGTACCACCAGCAACGCTGGCAGCAGCAGCAGCAGCAGCAGTAGCAGACGCTGGAGCAAGGACTATGACGTCTGCGTGTGCCACAGTGAGGAGGACCTGGTGGCCGCCCAGGAGCTGGTCTCCTACCTGGAGGGCAGCAGTGCCAGCCTGCGCTGCTTCCTACAGCTTCGGGATGCAACCCCAGGCGGCGCCATTGTGTCCGAGCTGTGCCAGGCCCTGAGCAACAGTCACTGTCGGGTGCTGCTCATCACCCCAGGCTTCCTCCGGGACCAGTGGTGCAAGTACCAGATGCTGCAGGCCCTGACCGAGGCCCCCGGGGCAGAAGGCCGCACCATCCCCCTGCTGGCCGGCCTTGCCAGAACCGCCTACCCTGCTGAGCTGCGGTACATGTACTTTGTGGATGGCCGGGGCCCTGACGGTGGTTTCTGCCAAGTCAAGGACGCCGTCATGCGTTGTAAGCTGTGGAAGGACGGGAGAGGGGGCAGGGGCTCAGTCACAAAGGCTGATCTGCCTTAGACAGCCACTGTTGTAGCAATTCAAGATGCCATTAGCAAAGACTGCTGTTTGGACAAGTCACTCGACCCCTCTATGCCTGGGTTCCCTCCAGGTAAAAGGAGGTTAATAGTATATACCTAGATAAGTATATACACGAAGTGTTCAAAACCTGGCCTGGCACATGTGAAATACTCCTAACAGGCAGGGCCTAGCACCTATCTAGTCCTCAATAAATATTAGCCATCACTCTCATGATTAATAGTATTAGGTTGCTTTCACTGCTGTCAGGCTGGAAATGCCCACCAAGAGCTGGGAAAATGCCAAGAGGGACACAAGTTTAGTAAACCTGTGCAGAATCATAGGGAAGAATCACCTACAAGTGAATCCAGGGGAGGGGCATTTTATCACAATGGCTTTGACAGTAGCAAAATAGATATAAAGCTGGAAGAGGGTGGGGTGGGGGGTATTGGGGGAAATAAATATGCTGAGGTTTGGGGAGGGTGACAAGCCATGTGATCTGTTTGGTCTCTTTCAGATCTACAGACACTCAGCTGAGGAGTCTACCACGATGGGGCTCATAAAGTTGAAGCCAAGTTGGAGACTGAGTTAGAATCCTTGCAGCAAGGCCCTGGATTCCAGCAAGGGGTGTAAACAAATGTGACAGAGCTGGCGGCACTTTGTATGGGACCCTGGATCAGACCACCCACCAGGTTTCCATCCCTGTGGGCCCTCGGGAAGTGCATGGGGAAGCTAGGGACTCCCCCAGGAAGGTTATGGGGAAGCTGAGGACTCCTCTAGGAAGGTCATGAGGAAGTTGGGGACTCCCCAGGAAAGCCAGGGGGAAGCTGGAAATTGAAGGTGGTAGGAGGTACAGACATCAAGAGATCACTAATGTTTGACCTCCTACATCAGTGGACAAGAAGTCTGCTGTGCACCTCCGTTCCTGCCCTTGAGCAGGGCCCTAGTGGAGAGATGCACTCTTCCTACAGTGGGGTATCCAGACTGCTGGGGAGGCCCCGGAATGTGTACCCGCGGAAAGCAACAGCTTCCTTCCACACTCATACTACTGCCTTCGCAGTGACATCCATTCCCTTCAGACAGCCACGTGACAGGCATAAAGCATGGCACTGCAGTTTATTTTTGCTGTTAGCGTGTGCATGTCATTACAGACTCAAACCTAGAAACCCTCCTTTGTAGACACAGGAGGGGGCAGCAGGATGAAGAGTAGGAAAGCTCAGTCCCTTCAACTGGAATTGAAAGTCCATTCAGGGATGCTTTGACAACTGGGGGCCTTGTAAGCAGTCTGGCCAGAGGGCATGCTTTTACACCTCTGGACTGAGATGATGCCAGTTTTCTTCTGGCAGATGCACGTATACCTGTATATACTGTTCTTCTCAAGTTTGTCCTTGGAAGTGAGTTTCTTACTCCTCCAAGGTATACTTTTGCACCTCCTCTCATTTTCTCTACCACGATATGACATATGACATTGTTTTATAATGTTTTAGTATTTGTATATATTGTAAAAAAGCACTGTAGATTATGATTTATTTGATTACATACAAAGAGAATAAAAAATAATATAATGTACACTCATGTATCTTCCACCCACCTAAGATCCCCATGGTGCTTTTTGCCTTTGGTTATATCACCTCCTTTCTTCCACCAGAAGCAAGCACTATTTTGAATTTGGAATTGGCCACTGTTAGTTTTTTTTGATTTAATGTATTACACATGTGCATTCCTGACAACATATTTACTTTCTCGTGGTTTAATACTTTATATAATCAGCACTATGTTTGCATTCTGCAAATTCCTTTTATTTTTTGGTTTACCATGTTTGTAAGATTTCACCATGCTGATTCATGTAACCCCAGTTAATTCCCTTTTGTTCCATTATGTAAATATACTACTATTTAGTCACAAATTCTCCTACAAATGGCCATTTGGTTGTTCCCAATTTTTCGGCTATTAAAAACAAGGAACCTATGAACATCTCTGGGCAATTCTACAAGTAAGTTTCTAAGATATAGCCTAGATGGGGAACAGCTGGGGAGTAAAAAATACATACCATTACTTTAGTAGATTAGACCAAATTTTCTTCCAAATTATTCGTGCCGATTTATTTTCCTATCACATGTGTGTAAGAGTTCTCATTTTTTCATGTTCTCGCTAACTCAAAATTACCAGATTTTTAAATGCTTGCTAAAATGGTGGATGAAAAGTGGTACCTTTGTGTCATATTCTTTTTTTCCCCTACTTGCAATTTTTTTTTTTCCTGAAAAACTGTATCATATACTAGAAGGGAAAAGTTTAATGAAATCCCATCTATCCATCACCCAGCTTCAAGAATTTAATTACCAACTCAGAACTAAGCTGCTATAAACAATAACCCTAAACATTTCCTCACTTCCAGATGGTTTTGAAGCAAATGCCTGACATTACTTTATTCCTCCACATTTAAGTATGTATCTCCAAATTGTTACATAATAAGGATCAGCAACCTAAACTGGGGGTCAGCAACCTGAACTTGAGCCTCAGTTCTTAAAAGACCAATAATTTTCAGCTTCATGTTATGTCCATCATTCTGCTGCATCAAATACCAGTTGGTGGTTTCAAGCCACTCGTATCTAACAATAAAGAGGAACATTTCAAGCATGTCCAGAAGTTTCATTTTTAATATGACAATATAACATCACCCTTTAAAGAAGTTTTTTTTAATATAAAAAACTTTTACCTATTTGTAGTCAGTGCTTTTTGTGTCTCACTTAGGAAGTCCTTCCCTACTCTGGTATTTTCTTCTGAAAGTTTTTCACATTTACGTCTTTAATCCACCCAGATGTTTTGTTTGGGTTTGTTTTGTTGGGTTTATAAGTCAGAGATCCAATTTTTTCCCCATTTGTAAATAATGACTTACTGACTAGTCCATCCTTTACTAATTATGATGTCGTGGCTGTCATATATTGTCACATGCGGGGCTACTTCTGAGTTCTTTTGTGTGTTTGTGGATCCTGAACTTGAGCCTCAGTTCTCAAAAGACCAATGATTTCCTGGGTTCTCATTTGTGTGTTTGTGGATCTGTGCCAGTGGCACACTGGTTTAGTTACTATGGCTTATAATAAGCCTTGATAATTCGTAGGTCAATTCTTTCCACTCTTCTTACTCATCAAAATCACTTTGACTTGTCTTACATCTTTACTCTTTCATATAAATTCTTTATTCAGTCTGTCAACTTCCAGGAAAATGCCTGTTAGTGTTTTTATGGGACTTATATTGAGAGATTAATTTGGGAATAGATGGTTTTTTATGATGTTGAATTTTTCTCTCCCTAAAAATAGCATATCTCCATTTATTTATGTCTTCAATCCTGTTTCAATAAAACTTTATAAACCTTTTCCATATTGGTCAGTCACATCTTTTATTAGATTTATTTCTTAGAATTTCATGGTTTTGGTTGCCACTGTAAGAGATATTTTTAAATTATGGTTTCTTTCTACCATAAGGTTTAAATTGTTTTTATCTGTTATAGGATTGCACTTTATTTATTTTGCAATTTATTTTTTACATTGACCGGCTTAATTATTTACAAGACTGTAGATTTGGGGCCTCCCTGGTGGCACAGGGGTTAAGGTCTCAGTGCTGTCAGGCTATTGCCAGCCTCTGCAGCATGAGTTTGATCCCCAGCCAAGGAGCTAACCCACATGGCACAACAGACCTCTCCAGTCTCACCCGCTGCTCCACTCAGCAGTGTTCTTCAGTGGATCCACCTGTTCTGTTCTCCACTCTGTCTCTGGTGAATCCTCTCACCCTCCAAACCTCTGGCCTACACCCCAGTTCTTATATGCATAAATAAATAAAACAAATATTTAAAAAAGAGACTAGATTTTGTTGGGTTTCTACAAAGATAATCAAATAATTTGCAAAGCAAAAGAAACTTTAGTTCCTTCTATTTCTGTGTTGCTTAGGATTGCCAGTCAATTTGTTGAAAATGACAACAGCAGCCACCTTCTTCTCATTCATATTTGAAGGTACTTTTTTAAAAATCAAGTTGTAAGTGTTCTGCTGTTTCTAGCTGATAGTTTTATTTCACTTGAATAGGTTTTACATTTAATCTAAAACATCACATCTATTGAGATGATGTAGTTTTTTTCCCTTTAAATGATTAATGCAGTGGATAACATTAGACTTCCTAGTGTCAAGTTTACTCCATTCTTGGAGTAAACTCAATTTGACCATAATGCATTATCTTTATTATAAACCTCAGGATTTAGTCTAACATCTTCTTTAGAATTCTACATCTATTTTTACATGTAGGATTGGCTCTTTCTCTCAATCCTCTTTACATGTAGGATTGGCTCTTTCTCTTTTTCCTGATTGTATTACAGCTTTATAAAATAGTTGGAGAGTGGCCCTTTTTCCACTCATTGCAGTCTTAAGCTTGAAATTAATTGTTTCTTAAATGTTCAATAGACTCATCTGTAATCCACTTGTACCTGGCATTTGTTTTATCAGAAGAGTTAAAACTCCAATTTCAATGCCTGAGGAAGCTGCAGACGTATTTCAAATTTCCTTTTCTTCTAGAGTCAACTTGGCATAAACAGTCAATAAAGAATACAAGACAGTGGGGCTCCCTGGTGGTGCAAGGGGTTGAGACGCAACCTGTGGAGCTGTCCACAGCCACTGCAACACGAGTTCAATCCCCCGGCCTGCCAGGGAGCAGCCCATATGGAGCAGCAGACCTCTCCTGACTCGCCCTCACCCACTGCTTCCCTCAGCAGTATACTTCAGTCAATCTGCCTGTTCTGCTCCCCACTCTGTCTCTAGTGAATCCTCTCATCCCCCACACCTCTGGGCTGTACCCCAGCTCTCATATCTATAAATAAATAAATCTTAAAAAATTAAAAAAGGAGGGGCCTCCCCGGTGGCGCAGCAGTTGAGCGCTGGGTTGTGAAGCTGCCCGCAGCCTCTGCATCACTGGTTTGATCCCCGGCCGCTGGGCAAGGGTCCCACAGGGTGCAAAGACCTCTCCTGCCTCCCGCTCCTCCCCTCAGCAGTGTACTTCATCACTCTGCCTGTTCTGCTCCCTGCTCTGGCTCTGGTGAATTCTCTTGCCCTCCCACGCTTCTGACTGTACCCAGTGCTTGTATGAATAAATAAATAAATCTTTTTTTTTTTAAAGGAATACAAGACAGTCTTAAATAGATTTTTCAGTGTGAGCTTCATGGCACATGTAGATAATAAGAATCTGAAATCTTAACCTGGAGATTGGCTTGTGGTTATGAATTTTCAGGGGATTTCTTTTTCTTTCCTCTAAAGTCAGCTGTTGAGGCACAGAAGTTCCTCAAATATCTTTTGTCCTTTAATAGGCAAAAAGTTTTAACTTTAATTTACATAGTGGACCTTTTCACTGAGGTGGTGGACCGTTAGAGATTGTGGCTCTGTGGGAAATTTTCTATTCCACCTGCTCATCTTGCTTAAGCCAAAGTCTCATCTCCATGCTTTAAACATCACATTTAAAGCCCAGGGCTCTAGATTTCAAGGAACCAGCAATCACCCTGAGATGACCAGCTTTACTATCCAGTTACCATTCTATAGATTCATGCTCCCACATTTTTCATCTCTGAAGAGTTTATTTTCTTGAGAGATCAACAATGTGACCACAAAGGCTGTTTTTAATTGTGCATTCAAAATGTTGACCTTTTTTTAGTCAAGTCGTTTTTCAGACTATCTAGTCTGCCATAGTACCTGAAATAGAAGTGTCTAATCCTTCTTTAAACTAAAATAAGTAGCTATTGCTACTTTCAGGCGCATAACAAAGATGGTACATCTGGAGAAAGGGGTGGATTCAGGACAGTAGGGGTAGAGCCAGGCTGTTGTAAAAGCAGATGAAGTGTAGTCACGGCAAAGAACAGGTACAGATTTAGGACCTAGCAGGACAGAGACCAGGTTACTAGATTCTAACAAGTTATCTGGGAATTGATCAAGATTTCCAGCTAAAGTTGTTGGTGATACAGCTTGAGAGTCATTCTTCAAGTGGATCCATGTAAATAACTGTGAAGAAGATTCCAGATTTCAAGTGCTATGCCACTAACCTGCCCTTACAAAACCTGGAACTGAACCTTGCACCTACTCTGGGAGAGCATGGACCTGGTCCCAGATGAGTGGTACGGGGCAATTGCCAGTGACCACCAACATCCAATGGAAGGACAGTGTCTGTGATCTGGATTGACCCATCTCTTATGACCCAACCACCTGCCTCAACATCTGAAGTAACAGGCACTCTTTCCTCATGGAATTTGAAGATTTTACAGGTAAATCAGGTGAGAGCCAGACTAGTGGTCTCATCTGGAGTTGATGACAGTTTCATGTCAGCACAGGCCACAGCACACTACTTCCACTGGACCATGGCATGAGACTCACTGGACCTGCTTTTGAAAAACTTTGGTCAATACTAAAGATAGAACTTCCATATGATCCAGCAATTCCACTCCTAGGTATTTACCCAAATGACACAGAAACATTAATTCCAAAGGGCACTTGCATCCCTATGTTTATAGCAGCACTATTTACAATAGCTAAGCTACAGAAACAACCCAAATGCCCAAAAATAGATGACTGGATCAGGAAGATGTGGTACATATACACAATGGAATATTACTCAGCAATCAAAAGAGATAAACACATGCAGTTTGCAGCAACATGGATGGAGCTAGAAGGGATCATGCTCAGCGAAATAAGTCAGACAGAAAAAGAAAAATACCGGATGGTCTCACTCATAGCAGGAATTTAGAAAACCTAAATAAGGGACCAGGAAAAAGACTAATTAATACAAAGTAAAAATCAAAATCAAAAAGCAACCATAAACCAGAAGCACACTACGGGGGGTTGGGGGGGCAGAGAGGGAAGGGGAGAGGAAGGACTAGGGTCAAAATAAGGGGGGGGTGCAATTGTATGGGGAATATAACCAAAATGATAATGCATACATTGTGAAAAGATGAAAAATGATGTGAGAATTATATAAAATAAAATATTAATTAAAAAAAGAAAAATTGTGGTCAAAATACACATAACATGAATTTGCCATCTGAACCGTTTTTAAGTTCAGATGGTGTTAAGTACATTCACACTTGTAAATTGCAGCCATCACCATCACTCAGAATTCTTTTTCATCTTGCAAAAAAACTCTGTTCTTATTAATAACACTTTCTCCCACCCACTGCCCCGGCAATGACCATTTTACTTCCTGTCTCTATGAAGCTGACTACTGGGTACCTCATGTCAGTGGAATTTTACAGTATTGTCTTTTTATGGCTGGCTGATTTCACTTAGCATAATGCCCTTAATGTTTATCCATGTTGTAGTCTGTGTCAGAATTTCCTTCCTTCATAAGACTGCATAACATTCCATTGTATGGATAGGCCACATTTTGTTTATCTGTTCATTTCTCTGTGGACACTTGAGTTGCTGCCACCTTTTGGCTACTGTGGATAATGTTGCTATGAACACAGATGTACAAGTATGTTTTCAAGATGCTCTTTTCAGTTCTTTGGGTATATACCCAGGAAGTAGAATTGTTGGATCTTCACTGTGCTTTTTTGAGTGTATGAAGAGTCCTTAATCTTTTTTTTTTTAAAGATTTATTTATTTATGCATACAAGAATTGGGGGACAGGCCAGAGGTGCAAGGGGTGAGAGGATTCACCAGAGACAGAGAGGGGAACAAAACAGGAAGACTGACTGAAATACACTGTTGAGGGGAGCAGCGGGTGAGACAGGACAGTTCTGCTGTGCCATGTGGGTTGCTCCCTGGTGGCCCAGGGATTGAATTCACACTGCAAGGCTGCAGCTAGCTTCACAGTGCTGCGCTTAACCCCCTATGCCACCAGGGAGGCCTGAAAGTCCTTAATCTTAATATGGATGTTTTCTTTTAGTATACACACTGTTTTCTATTAACACATATACCTCAATATGCACATTTCATAATTAATCTCAAAAATAGGGTATGCCTTCAAAGCTTTGCCAGGAGTTAAAAATATATAAACTAAGTAAGGCATTCCAACAAAGAGTTTTAATGTAGATTTTTTGGGTACTCAGATATTGATTGCTAAATGTAACAGTCTGATCATGATTCTGAATAAATGTTTTAAAAATTAATAAAAAAAATTTCAGGGAAGTTTTGAGATTCCTCAAGAAGATTGCAGGGCTGATGCTTATATAGACTAACCTTTTAATACAGTAATGTCCTGGCAAACTTTCTAGGATAACAGAGATGCTCTACACCTGGGCTGCTGAATATAGTAGCCATGACCCATGCCTGGCTATCAAGCATTTGAAACATGGTTGTGTGATTATAGAACTGAATGTTAAATTTAATTTAATATAATTAAATGTT